TTACTTACGAACCGCCATCACAGCGGTTCCTCTCCTCCCTCTCTCCCTCTTCCCTCTTCCTGTCTTTCTACACTTCTCTCCCTCAACTCTCTCCATCTCCGTCCCTTTTCCTCCTCTAAATCACCACCCATCACCTCCCTTAATTCCTCCTCCTTCCCCCTCCCCTCCTCTTTCTTCTCTTCCACTTCGTTCCACTACTCCTCTTCTTCATTAAACTCTATCATCTTCTACTTTTCAATACTTAACGAATACCTACCCCTCCTTTTTTCCCCTTCTCCCTATACAACCTTTTTTTTTTCCCCTTTCCTTTTCTTCTAATTCATTTCATCGCCAGTATAATTATTTGCACTTTCTTTTTTCCTTACTCTGTTTCCTATCGACTTCGGACGGGTCCCCCTTGCTATATAACGGTTATTACACCGTCGTGTCTTTTTTGTTACTATACTTAGACACTCTCTTGGCTTTGGTCCTGCCCTATTTTAAAGGGTCTCTTCTCCGACCGATCTGCGAACATCTCCGGCTCCAACCTCGTTCCACCCTCACGTCTCCGGGCGCCCCAATCGACCATCAGCTGCATCCCGGCGCTGTAGCAGTTCGGTCGCTCGGAGTCTCCGGTCTCGCTATCACCGTTGTCCGGTACACGGTTTATTCCTCAGGTCAATCTGCATGCCTGCTTATACGCCTTTCCGAGTCGAGCTCCGAGAGTAATGCTGGTCCACTCGTGCGCATCTACCGAGCTTCACGTCAGCTCGCCCTGAATCAAGCGGTTTCTATGGGAAGATCAACCGGACCGGAGAAGGACATATATTGTACGGACAGGGTCATCGGACGGAACCCCAGGAAATAAGGCCTTGGAAGGGGAGGATGCCCAGTTGTAACTCGGAAAGAGTTCGCTGAATCAAAGACATGAAAATGGACCGTCCGCCTTCAGTTCCTGGCCTGGAGGAGCCCGTCATTCTGGCTGCCCGGAATGGCCAGACCTTAGACCATGTTCGCAGGCGGAGTTCGGACAAGTCCATCGAGGATTCCTCGTTGCCGGCACCGATGGAGGCAGATATCAAGCAGACTGTCACCAAGCCGCCGAACGCGAAACTTCCCCTGCAGGGTGATTTCTCAGATGGGCAGACGTCTCTTCGACACCCGTTTCCCCATCTGTACCATTCATCCAGTACATCCAGGTCACCCTCCACTCGTACTTCTTCGAGCTCGCTTCAGGCTTTGAACGAGGACACCGTTGTTGATGCGCGGTCGGATCACAGCGCCGTTGGCCGGAGCTCCATCTCTTCTCGGAGGGTCGCCCACATGGGCCCCTCTGAGACTCATTCCGCAGACTACCCCGTCTATCCCGACCAATCCTACGCCGTCCTCCAGTCCCAAATTCACCCCACCTACCAGCCCCCGTTCCTACGCACCCGAAGCTCTTACCCGTCCCGGACTGAGGCGGCCAAATATGCTCCATCGCGTGCCGCACGCACGGCGGGCAATACCCCCCTCTCCAGCCCGGGCCTATTCTCCATCAGAAGTCCTCGCTCGACGCCTCCATTCGCGTCCGACGACGAAGGTCGCATCAGCAGTCCCTATCTCCATCCCACCCATCTCCAGCCCCCTAAAGAGTAAGTCCGACGTGCCACTGGGTGCACCAACCTCCTCTGTCCTGCCAAATATCACTCGACTGTTGACTGACCATCTTGATGATAGGACCCATACTGCCGAGGTGGATCGAGATCTTGTGACCGGAAACAAGCTTATCAACCAGTATGAGATCCTTGAGGAGCTCGGACGCGGTGAACATGGAAAGGTGAAGCTCGGCCGCCATATAACGACGAGGCAAAAGGTTGCAATCAAGATCGTCCAGCGTTATTCAAAGCGTCGCCGCCTCGGAAAACTCGGTAACCCTGAGGATAAGGTCAAGAAAGAGGTTGCCATCCTGAAAAAGGCACGGCACCCTAACGTCGTCAGTCTGTTAGAAGTCATCGATGATCCGAATCGCCAAAAGGTCTATATAGTCCTCGAGTATGTGGAGAACGGAGAGATCATCTGGCGCAAGCGTGGGCTGCGAGAGATTGTTCACGTCGATAAGCGCCGGCTGGAGCGTGAAAAGGCGGGCATTCCCGACACACCTTCTTTCATGGAAGAAAGTCAACAGTACGTAAGGACAGCCCAGCACCTTCGTCGGCAGCGCGAGAAGGCACGTGAACGGCGCCAAGCACAGGCGGCATATGCGCAAGAAGCTCCGATCCCTGCCTGGAGTCTGGAGCATGGTGCGGAGTCAGACGACGAAGAAGAAGAAGATCTGGGGGGCGAGCCTATGGCTGCGCGTGTGCCCAGCCGATCTTTAGTGAGCACCGATGATGCTCAGTCCTCTCCGAGTCATTCTTATGCGTCGGGCCCCGAGTCGGCATTGGCTGCAGTAGAAGGCAGCATGTACGGCGCCTATGCAGACTACCCATTCGAAAGACGGTTCAGTACCGCGTCAAGCAGCTTCGGCTATGCACCTTCTGAACCAGAGTGGTTCACTGACGATGACGACATGTCCTATGTGCCTTGCTTGACTTTCAACGAAGCGCGCAACGCCTTTCGCGATTCGTTGCTAGGCCTGGAATATCTCCACTACCAAGGCATCATCCATCGTGACATCAAACCCGCAAACCTACTGGTCACCAGCAACTATCGTGTGAAAATCTCAGATTTTGGTGTCTCGTACTTGGGCCGACCCATTCGAGACGAGGAAGAGGAGCGGGTGGAGGAAACGGATGCCACCGAGTTGGATGATGCTCGCGAGCTGTCCAAGACGGTCGGGACACCGGCCTTTTATGCCCCTGAGTTGTGCTATACAGGCGATGATTTTGTGGACGTGCTTGGCGCCGCCCCTCGGATCACCGGCGCTATTGATGTTTGGTCTCTGGGTGTTACCCTCTACGGCATGATCTTCGGGCGCCTGCCATTTGTTTCCGATGACGAATACAGCATGTTCCAGACTATTGTGCGGAAGGAAGTCTTCATTCCCCGAAAGCGGTTACAGCCTGTGGAAGATGATCCCGACACCGTCAGTCAGTGGCCTCGCTACAGTGACAGCAGCAAACGGATGGAGGATGAGCTGGTGTACGAGGATATTGACGACGAATTGTATGATCTGCTAAAGCGGCTGCTGACCAAGGATCCGGTTAAACGGATCACCGTGAAGGAGATCAAGCACCATCCTTGGGTTCTGCATGGTCTTCCCAACCCCAGAGCATGGGTGGAGGAGACGGACCCGGGATATCAGAGCAAGGGAAAGAGAATTGAAGTATCCACCGAAGAAGTGACTAGTGCTGTCAGCAAAGTACCGTTCATTCAGCGTGTGCGATCCAACGTTGCTAAGTGGTCTAATTATCTGACTGGACGGTCAAAAGAGAAGGATAGTCGCAAACGGACTCCGAGTAATTCTCCTTCGGTCGAGTCATCGTCAACTACAAGCAGCACTGCTTTTGGGAAATATCTCTGGGATAATCGGCGGCACAGCCTGAGGGGAGATGAAGAATTCCCTCGTTCTCTCCGGTTGCCTAGGGAAGGGGAGCATCCGCTTTCGCAGAGTGTGACCGCAAGTCCCGTGGGCCGAGAAGATCAGCCATCCTATTTCGCTTCGTCCGATTCCCTATCAGTGCAGGAACAATCTACGCGTCCAGACCCCCCCGAGCGCACTACATCCACATTGTCCACTGCTGAATCTGCCAAGACCGTGAAACCATCGGACCATAAAAGAGTATCAGTACCCCAGCGTGCTGGCACCCCTGTCCGTATGGAACCGTCTGGGACTACGAACCTCGGTGGCCTTTTTGGTGGCGCGAGCCGTCGGCTTGCAAGAGGCCTTCAACCTGGGGATTGGCGCTCCGATCGGTCTGTCTCGGGCGAGACAGCGTCTTTGGAAGGTGACCGTCATTCTGAGCCGAGCTTGGCTTTAAGTGTGGCCTCGGCTGTTGGTCAAATGCAGAATTGCAACTTGTTGTCGAATGAGGAGCCGCTCTTGACTCCTCCCGATGGCTCCCTTGCTAGAGCTTCCAGCCATCGGCGAAACCGATCCCACCAGCTTCCAGGCAAGCATTCCGCCGAGCCATTCCATTTGACCAAGGAGGCCTTGCTACGGAAGAGGAGGAGCGACCTCGGACCCGTCGGTGATGCAGACACTAGCGCTCGTGGCGACAGCGAGCCATGCTCCGGTGACTACATGGGCCCGCGGATTGAGAATCACCCGCAAGCCTCAGACTCGTCGAATGACCAGTCCTCTGGAGATCCTCTTTCCGGAGGGCTGACGACATCGCCGCCATCGGCAGCTACAATTTCCTCTTCATCAATTGACGAGTATACTAGCGGCATGTCCCAAAGCACTTCTCACCCCAGCATCCCGTCTGTGGTGTCAGGAGCTTCGTCTCTCTCCGGTGAGAGTGGCTTCAAGGAGAAGGATGCTGAACCAGCCGTTCAGGTTCCTTCGATTCTTCGCACTGGCGAGACAGTCAAAGCCCGGCATTCCTGTCCTCCACGCCCTGCAGAAGATGATGAATGCCGTTACTACTGCGATGACGAAGAAGAGTCTGGTGATGACTCGGAAGATGAAGGACTTGTCATTGGTAAAAAGAGGGCAACCCCTCAGAAGCCAATCATCCGCCCGGGACAGTCGAAGTCATGATCACAACACACGCCTATCATTGCCGGGGGTCTTTCGTTGACATCTAAGCAAGGGACATCAAAAGTTTCCTTCACCGTTACATGATGATTTGCATTTGCTTCTCCTTTACCGATCATGACACTATTACCATCATATTATGCCTGACTTTTTTTTTTCTGGGTGGTCACGGCTTCATTCGATCACCATGATCATTATCTTGTTGGGGTTTAATTTCTGCGTGTATATCATTTATTCAATTAGTGGGGGGATATATTCCTTTTCTTTTCGTTTCTTCGCTTCTTCCCCCCACCTTCTTTTTTTCTTTCTGGCTGGTTGCGTCCCTTTTGCTGGCATACAGGAAACTTCCCTAGGGTTCCACATCTGTTGAGACACAGATACATTGCTTGTACATATATTTGCATCGGCGGCACGTTCATATTCGGTCCTCTTTATTCTGTTATCCTCATCCATTGGCTTGCATTCGGATGATGCTGGGGTTCATTCTGCGTCTATATATATCTGGTCTGTTTGCTGCATTGGGCCTGGGGTCTGTGATTGCGTGTATGTAATGGAGGGTGGGTCAGGCTATACAATGTACCTGCCTTTCCCCCTTTTCTTTTTGTTGGCTTTGGATAGCCGGTGGCAGCGGGAGTAGGATTTTGCTTTGCGGAAAGGTTGCCATGGAAGGACACGATGTTGATGACCAAGTCGCGAGAGATGATGAAGAGAACAACAATATACACACAGAGGAAGTGAGAGACACTCACACGTTTACGATCCACTTGGGTGCGCCTGTGCCTTTCTGCTGCACATGGGAAAAGCGGGTCACCGTCTAGCCTAGTGTGCCGATACTTTCTATGCCGGGGGGGGGGGAGTTGGATGGAAGCTGAAACAGGCCAAGCAGAACCACGAGTCCGTAGGAGCTTAGGGAGGAGGCCTGAGAGCGTCTCCTAAACTAGATCCGGAGTACAACCGAAATGTCGTCGTATGTGCCCATGTGGCTGCAGAGAGTTTGGGCGACCATCTGACCTCGGGGGAGGTGGTTTACCGCAAGTCAAATCCGACTGCCCGTCTAAGTATGGAGAATAATGGGTTCGGGCGTGCCACCGGCCGATCTGCACGGACGGTGTCAGGTTCCTCCACCAATGGCTCGGCAGATTGGAAACACTTGGTGTCTCGCGATGCATGACCTGACGCTGACTGCCGTCCTGCATTGATTAAAACGTGGAGAACTCCGGTGGTGTTTAATCTATATGGGCAGATGTTGTCCTTTGCCTTCTCCGTGTCATTTGCAAGACGGACCCAGTGGACAATGGCTCGACGCGGCCAGTCGATGACGCCTTTTAAAAAGAGCTCTGGTGCCAGGCTTGACTCCCTCGAACCGCTGGATCCGACCGTGAGAGTGATAACCGGGCTCATTAGAGGCGAGCGTCGATGACAACCATGATGATCTACTCTCTGCTTCTCTCTGCATTGCCTCTGCTCAGCAGCGCCGCCCTGACCTACCGCGGGGCGGATATCTCCTCCCTTTTGATCGAGGAAGATGCCGGCATCAGCTATAAGAATTTGAATGGCGAGACCCAGGCATTGGAGGATATTCTGGTCAACAATGGCGTCAACTCGATCCGACAGAGGGTGTGGGTAGACCCCAGCGATGGCTCGTACGATCTCGACTATAATCTCAAGCTGGCCAAGCGTGTTCAGGCCGCGGGTATGAGCATTTACTTGGATCTGCATCTCAGTGATACGTGGGCAGATCCCAGTGATCAGGTCCGTCCTACTGCTGGAAGGGAAGACACCGCAAGAGAGAGATGGAACACTAACGTAAGAGATGTATACAGACTACCCCTACCGGTTGGTCGACCACGGACATCGACACACTCACCTGGCAACTGTATAACTACACGCTCGACGTCTGCAACACTTTCGCAGAGAATGACATTGACATAGAGATTGTCTCCATTGGTAATGAGATCAGCAGCGGACTTCTCTGGCCATTGGGCAAAACCAGCAACTATGACAATATCGCGAAGCTGCTGCACTCCGGCGCCTGGGGAGTGAAGGACTCCAACCAGGCCACAACCCCGAAGATTATGATCCACCTGGACAATGGATGGGACTGGGAGGAACAAGAATACTTCTACAAGACTGTCCTGGCCACGGGGTCGCTGCTCTCCACGGATTTCGACCTCATGGGAGTCTCGTACTATCCATTCTACAGCTCGGAAGCTACCCTGTCGGCGCTCCAGACCAGCCTCACGAACATGCAATCGAACTACGATAAGTCCGTGGTGGTGGTGGAGACGAACTGGCCCGTGTCTTGCCCGGACCCGGAGTATTCATTCCCGTCGGATCTCAGCTCGATCCCCTTCTCGGCCGCAGGACAGGAGGAGTTCCTCGAGAAGCTCGCAGAGGTGGTAGAGGGCGTCACGGACGGACTGGGTATTTATTACTGGGAACCGGCGTGGGTCGACAATGCCGCGCTAGGATCCAGCTGTGCGGACAACCTGATGGTGGATATTGACACAGATGAAGTCCTGGAGAGTGTCACCGTGTTTGAGGACCTCTGATATTTTTTTCTTCTGTTTGAGAGCACCAGATCGATGCATCTCAGCTATTATGTACTCTATTAAGTAGTGATGTTACAGCGTATGTGTGTGAGTATAGTAGTATGTGTTAATAATTGATCAACAATCAGGAGTTAGTACCATAACTCAACTCTGCTACCTGCACCACTTGAACAGTAGCAAACAGTTTCAGAAAACGATAAACTAAACCAAAGAAGAATAAGATAAAAAGGCACACCCGTTAGGGAAATAATTCATGTAGATCCATCAAGAAACTATCGGCCCGCGCGCACAAACACATTAACACACAAATGGTGAAGCCTGCGGTTGAACCGTGGACCTGCAGTCGAGGGGCAGCAGATAGGGTGGCTGTGCAACCAGCGATCCAGTTGGGATCGGCGGTGTTCTAAGCAGCTAATGGCATGGCCGGCCAATCTATCTAAATCAGAGCCAAGGAAATTGAACCCTGGGAGTTTGTCGAGAGAGAGAGAGAGAGAGAAGGAGAGAATGTGTGTTTGCAACCGAGATAGGGGGAGGGGTTAAGGCTGACAGGTTTGCTGAAGAGAGAAAGTTAAGAGAATAGATGGTGATCTATCCATCACACAATTCGGAAATAATCAATGATTATCGTAATACGAAGGGATCAGTGCGGGATATTTGGCACATCTCTCTTCCTCTTACTATTTGACGTAAAATAATCCGTGACGTGAGGGTTTCCGACTTGCATGACGCTGGGGAGATAAAAGTAAAGCATATGGAGGAAAGTAGAGGGATATCTGGCATTGCTATGGAGTATGTATCTAATTAGGGCAATCAAGGAATTCTCGTCGCTGCAGCCTGTCAGGTCGTGATCCCAATCATAACACCCTTGTACTTTTATTTTTGTCTCTTTCTCTTGGTTTGACTTTTGATCCTTGTCAATCGACCTGGTGAGGAAGAGATAGACAGGCTATTTTTATCCTACATCTCCTACCCGATTAGATCAGCTGTCCCTCATCAGCATGAACTAACTACCGTGACAATTGGCTTTTTGGGCTGTGATGGATGATTCAATCAATCAATCAATAATTTCTTCAGTTATTCTTGCTTTGGACCCTTTTTAGATCAGCACTGTGCAGGTTAACTCGGCTGCAGGCTACGTCAACCGTTTTTTTGCTCCTGGTTTCACCCTTCGTTCATCTCAGTCTCCAGTCTCAGTGGATCCTGCAGTCTGCCTTGTCAGATCAACACACACACCCTCACACACTACTACTCTTTCTCTCGTTCTCCATTGATTAACTCTTATCCATTGAGAAATAAATCCCGCAATATGCTGCTATTCTTATCATTTTCCCGACCAGGGGGGATAGGAAAGTCTCCCCTGCTTTCTAGGCAGCGTTCGCAAGGGGGATATCCGCATTACAACTAGACTAGAATGTGAGTACTTGTGAGGTTGACGCTGAAAATGACCGCCAGTGAAGCGGATTATAGCGTCATTTTCACGCCGTGTTTCCAGTGACCTGTTGCTGCTCCAATGATTTCAATGTCTCACCCTCTCTTTCGTTTTAGTCGGAGATTCTTTACTTTATTTCGTAGAGGCAGTTTGCCTATTTAGCAGTCTAAACTATTATTGTCAAGTCTTTAAGAGTTATTGATACAATCGCTTGCTCTTACTATTGACTAACTGCACTTCATGCTCAGCTACTCATAAATAGGACAAGTAATGTGCGAATGCATTACTGTAATGCATGTAATGTTAATTCAAAACACCACAACTACTGTCCGGATCTTGAGCACAAGAACTGATGAAATCTACATTAAGGAAAGCTTGTCAGCCCAGTCAGACTCCTCCCTGCGCTCAAGCGTATGTAAACAACATAAACAGGGTAGGTCTGCGTCGCGCGCATAGAGCGCTCTCGGTCCTTTCTTTCTTGAATCGCATCGAGTGCTGCGGGCTGAAGGACGTCTTGCACTAGCTGAGTCACTTCACCACTGCTTGTCTGATTTCGCAGCTTACGGATTCGTGTCTCAACGTCGTCGAGGAAGCTGTCGGCAGACTCGCCATCTCCAACGTGAAGTGTAACTGTGCCGATCTGTTCGCGCGCCTGCTCTCTGGCTCCGCGGTAGCGAAAGTTAGTAGATGGGGTTGTGAGGCCGAAGCGTTGGATGGTGCCGTCCTCGGGTAGGAGATGAAGAACATGGATTGTGGCACCAAAGTTGCCAACAACAAGGAGCACGGAAGGATTGGTGGGTGGGGTGAATATGTTTGTAAGACGGGCAAGCATGATTATGTGAGTTGAAGATTGTTTGATGAACAGATATTAAGTCTTAGTAGTAGTAGTACTAGAAGTAGTAGATTAAGTGACTATAATGAAAACAGTAGAACTAACTGGGAGAGGGAATTCACAAGACCTTGTTTTACTACAAATAAACTGATAAATAGACCTTTCAGCATCAGTAGAAACTTAAAATGAAAGCCAGCAAATTGACAGGTCATTTAGTATTGTGATTTGTTCTGGACAGGCAGACTGTCTGGCCTGAGGAATACTTGCTTTGCACGTGCCCCGGGAATCAGGCATTGGGAATCTGGACGAGTTTCTGCCTTGAGCTTCCTTCTTGGACCGTCAGCTTCATCATCCTTTTCGAGTTTCGATCTTCTTTCCTGGTTTCACCCTTGTCTGTGTGTGTGAGAGTGAGTGTCTGATTGAATCTGCATCTATCTCTCTCGTCCCTGGTTAGCGGCTGAGGATCGTCCTCTCCCGGCATCTTCCCCGGCGCTTGTTGGCGCCTGAGAATGTGTGCAACGACTTTCCCCCTCCAGACCGACTGCGCGCCACGAGGCTGAATCGCAAGGCTCTCTTACTCTCACTCTCTCACTCAACTCTCCCTCTCCCTCTTCCCACAACCACACCCCCCCCTTTCCCTCATTTGCCTCTTCCCCCCCCCCCCTCTGATCGCTCGTGTCCGCCTTTCTGCACGCGAATTCTCCATTGCTGTGCCGTGCTGGTTGTGAATCGCCCGCCGCCGTCATCCACTAACTCGTGCCCGATTCCTTCCTCTACCTCCCCCTCCTGGCCCTCCTCCACGCCCACATCCCTCCCTGCGGCACTTCTGACTCGCCCTTCCCCGCGTTTCTTCAGCTTCTCCGTTGGGTGTGAGATTGGACCGGACCTTGCGTTTCAACTCGACTAAGCCTTGCATCGCGTGGTATCTATTTTTGGTTCATCCTCTCGTCATGGCATCCCAGGACAACCTGCCCGACTCGGGGCAGTCGCCCGCTGGGATGAGGAGCCGCAGTATCAGTCCATATAATGATCCCTCCGCCGGATTGACCTTGGATGTCTCCGTCGCAACCACTACAGCTCCTTATACCTCTACTTCCTACAACCCCTCCAATCCAGGCGCCTCTGATTCCTACGGCTATAACCCCACCGGTTATCTCTCCGCACCCTCCGCCGCGCAGACGTTGGCCCCGACCGATCAAACATACTCGCACAGCCTTCAACTGCCACAATCCTTCGATGCTGGGTTGATGCCCCAGCTGGACCAGTCGACGGGCCTGTCCTTGCAGCAGCAACAGCAGCAGCAACAACAACAACAGGCGTCAGACGAGAACTTCTCTAATCTGTTGAACTCAAACCCCACAGATTTCGACTTTGCCCTATACCAGAACCCTAGTCCGAATAGCACGGCCGCCCCGGACTACGACTCCCCGCTCTTGCTAGATCCCCAAGTTCACAGCCATTCCCGACCGGGCAGTCAAGCGGTTAATCCTGCCGACCTCGTCAGCCAGATACCCTCTCCTCATCCCTCGGCTTCTCCGCAATTGTCTCCGATCTCTCCCCAGGACCATTATCAGCACTCATCTCCCGGGCCCATGTCGCCGCCCAGCTCGACGCCGGGGACTTACTACACCCCGCAACATTCCCGCCATACTTCCTTGGATCCTGCTAGCGCCGCATACATGTCGGGCAATGTGCATACGGATTGGCAGGCAGTCATGGCCAACTCCGCCTTCCAGGGTCATCGACGGGCCCCATCTGAGGTGTCTGAGGTGTCATCCGCTGCCCCATCTCCATACATGTCTCAGCATGAATCTTTTGATGGCGTGGAGAACAACCCTTCCCCCCTCCTAGCACCCCAGCATGACCCCGGTCTTTACGACAATGCACTAGGCATTGAATCTTTCACTTTGTCTGATGGTCAGCAACAGCACCATCCACAGGGCATCAGCCCTGCTCACAGTCCATATATCTCCCCGCAGTTGATGCCTCAACAGCCGACAGACATGATTCCCAACGTGCCGTACATCTCTACTCCTGCGGGCAACACGCAGTACCCCACCCCACCGACCGACATGTACGGGGAGGGTATGATGGTCCAAGGAAACGCTGGCATGGGTGATATAGGTCAAGCATCGCAAATGGCGCCCCCATCTATCAACGTGGAATTCGCGCCCCCGGCGAAGAATCTCAACCTCCCGCAGACGAAGCCCAGTGCGGATTTGGACTCGTTGAGTCCCCCCGTTGCCATGCGTAAGTTGTCACTGCTCGCCCCATTTTTTGCATTTTCTCGTACAATGCTAACTGCGAGCTTATAGGCTCCCGCATGCGCAGTAAGTCGGACCCATACGCCCACCCTGCTTCTCGCGCACGGTCATCTTCTACCTCGACCAGCCTGGAGCCATTTGTGCCTCCGTCACCCCGGTCGCTGTCGCCCTTTGATACCATGGGGCGACAGCCACATAGTAATCCCAGCTCCCGAGAGCCGTCTCCCTCGCGGTCGGGTCGGCGACTGTCTACGTCGTCGATCGACAGTAGAAATTACATTCTCGGCCTTGCGGATCCCCAGAGGCCTGGGGGCAACCCTAACGACTCCAAACGTGTCCAGAAACACCCGGCCACGTTCCAGTGTCACCTGTGCCCCAAGCGCTTTACGCGAGCCTACAACCTACGATCCCATTTGCGTACGCACACCGATGAACGGCCGTTCGTATGTACTGTCTGCGGGAAAGCCTTTGCGCGACAGCATGATCGGAAGCGGCACGAGGGGCTGCATTCCGGTGAAAAGAAATTCGTCTGTCGCGGTGACCTCTCCCGGGGTGGACAGTGGGGATGTGGTCGGCGATTCGCTCGTGCAGATGCTCTGGGTCGTCATTTCCGTTCCGAAGCTGGTCGGATCTGTATCAAGCCGTTGTTGGATGAAGAGTCTCAAGAGCGGGAGCGCACGATGATGGATCAGCAACAGCACCTACAGCCTATACCACCTCCGCTGATGGTGCCAGGAATGGATGGCCAACATACCAGCAATTTCGTTCTTCCTGCCGCGTTGCTGGCCCAATACCCCGCGCTGCAGACCTTGCAGTGGGATCAGATCCCTGCCACCGCAGACGATCCCAGTGATTTAGGAGGTCGCAGCAGCTTCGATGCTAGTTCCGGCGGAGAGTTTGGGTTTGATGAAGACGAATCTGGCCTCAGTAGTGTCTCTGGCATAAGCGGAAGCTACGGAGGTCCGAGTAACATGTATGATGTGAACAATCCGGGCCAAATGTTAGGAGTAAACCCTGCAGAATCTGGCTATCGAGAAACGGATTGGAGAGCATGACAACGCTTGTCTCGGTGATGCTCGCCTGCCTTCCCATATTTTTCTTCATTCTTAGCTCGGGTGCTATATCCCCTTTCGCCCCAGTTTTTTTTTTCTTCTTTTCTTTCCCCATCTTGATCATTAAACAGGCGATATTTCTTTCCATTCTACCCGAAATTTGAGGCAACGGGTGCAGCAGGCTTCCTCATGATTTCGATTTCTCAATAGAACAGGGTTTTGGCGTTGAGATACAGGGAGACGGATTGGATTGGTGATTGATTGATTGCCTCATGACGGCGGGTTTCACTTTCGTTCAGCCCTACCACTTCCTATTTTTATTTCTATTACTGCTTTTCTTTCATTCTCAGCTGGTCTAACCCGACCACGCATTATTTTTTTCTTATCTTGTTACGAGATTACGAAGAATCCTTGAACTTCATACCCATGGAAGATGCTCCCGGTTGTGTTTTCGTGTGCGAGGTTTAGGTACTTTGCTATTTTCTATTTTCTGTTACCCAAGGAAAAGGGATATCCATTTGAATACGCATATTTTAAATTATTTCGTTCCACCACATTTATTGTCCTACTCAGTGTGAGAGGTGTCTTGTTAAGCTCATGTAATTGACTGGGGTGCGGTAGACCTTTCTGCGAAGTATACGCTACCATAATTAACAGAATAAGGTTCAGTCCTATGCCCATTGTCATATCCACATTCTAAGATGATAGTAGCGTACTGTTCTTTTCGTACAGTCTATATCTATCTTTCTATTCATTGTTATACAGGGTACCCTAGAACCAGAAGTAAAACTTGATTGAGCCCCAGCTGAAGGGAAACTTAGTACTATACGAGCGCTCATGCATCAATTGCAAGGCCCTCCCTGCCATAAGGAATTACTGAACAAGACAAGCTCTACACTCCTGTCTGTTAGCACTAAATATAGTATTAGTTCAGCTGTGTCTGCTACAACCTTCTGATTACGGACATATAGTAGGCTCCAAGTTTGATGTAAGTACTCAGGTTTCAGTGAAGAGG